TATCTACCTGTCTATCTATCTATCTATCTATCAATCTATCTATCCGGTTGGCCTGTTAATGACGGCAAGGTCATTCATTCTGTCCAATCCTCTTCTCCAATCTATCTTCATTGTTTGAGATTTCGATTAATCTTCAACTAGTGCTTTTAGTCGTCTCCCTTATTAAGACGTTGCACCGGATTTGCATAAACGAATACACGAGGCAAAAAAAGTTTCGTAGGATCCCTAAAGCTAACCTGGCATCAACATCATGGTCGCGTATACCATGTAGATCATGCAGTAGGAAAGAAGGCAAAGGGAGAGGCAGAGAGGAAAGAGGGAAGAGGGTGCGCGCAGTACACCCAGAGTGACACGTGCGCACCCCCAATGCACGCACTACATAGGATAAGATAGAGANTGGGAATCTGATAAACTAGTTATTCACGTGTGATGGCTCTGAGATAACACATTCCTGACATTTATTCGTACCTATTTGACTCAATTTATGTCTCTCTACCTGTCTATCTATCTGTCTGTCTGGTTGGCTTGTAAATGTCAGCAAGGTGGTCATTTATTCTGTCCAATCCTCTTCTCCAATCTATCTTCATTGTTTGAGATTTCGATTAATCTTCAACTAGTGCTTTTAGTCGTCTCCCTTATTAAGACGTTGCACCGGATTTGCATAAACGAATACACGAGGCAAAAAAAGTTTCGTAGGATCCCTAAAGCTAACCTGGCATCAACATCATGGTCGCGTATACCATGTAGATCATGCAGTAGGAAAGAAGGCAAAGGGAGAGGCAGAGAGGAAAGAGGGAAGAGGGTGCGCGCAGTACACCCAGAGTGACACGTGCGCACCCCCAATGCACGCACTACATAGGATAAGATAGAGAGCGAGTGAGCGAGAGAGAGAGAGAGAGGGAGAGAGAGTGAGGGAGGGAGGGAGGGAGGGGGGGGGATAGAGGGAGTAAGATAGAGATAGAGAGAAACAGGCAGACGGAATGCATCCGCAGGTTAAGCGACTTCCCATATGCAATGCAAACGGCGCTGCAGGTTAGCGAGAGGCGAGTTTAGCACATATGATGAGGGGTGGGGTGGTGGGGTGGGTGTGGGAGTGGAGGAAGCTGTTGGTGACCCCTAGAGTAATAAAAATTGACCTCGGGTCTAAGCAGAAGACAGAGAGAGAGAAGGAGTGACTGTGGGGTAAGTGAACCTAAATTTGTACAGATGTACACAGATATGTGACTCATTTTAGACGCGAATATTTCCTGCACGTGCACAACGCAGCCACAACAACTCAATCTGTTTAGTAGAGTGAGTTGGGGAAGTTGACCTCATTCCAAATAAAGCACAGATGTTGCATATGATCAGGGCAAGCGCCTTATCCATTGCACTTTGACCTCTTCCACTTGCCCTCTTATTAAACTGCTATTATACTCGGTGTCAAAAAGGAACGAGAAATGCACGTACAGATAGTGGTACAAGAGGTCAGTTGGTGGATAAGAGACAAAATAGGTCAAAGTTGACTATTTCGAAATTGTAAGTGGAGAGTGATTAATGTCCCATAACGCCAGACAAGTACTATTTTGTATTCCATTGGTTCGAATTTGGTGCATTAAATGGTTGAAAGTACAGTTTCCGATTTCCTGGTGTGCATGAATGAATGCTTGATGCTTATAAAGCACATGAGAAGGATGGTAGGGCTGTCTCGGGTTCGGAGGAGGGGGTGGGATGGGGAGGAGAGTTGGTTCTTTGGTTGTAGCAATTTTCTTTACGCACAGAGGGGAACTTCATGATGGTATTCTTCTACCCAATCTGGGTCTGGAAAACAGTCTCTTGTATTACCTTGAAAATCAGTAGATGGTATGCCTTTCATCGCAAATAGTAGCAGACTTCGATTTCCACGAGGTTGACCACAGACGATGTGAGAGCCCTCTTCTTTCACAAAGGTAGAGTATCAAGACAAGTATTTTTAGAGAGGCATTGGGAAGCAAAATAGAGATATGAGAGGCATTTACGGTTCAAGGAAACAGTTGACGAGTGTGTGGTCCAAACGCTTTTCTATTGATTCACAACTCTGTATGTGACTAATTTATAAACCAGAACATCAAAGTCGCTGTTCGAAATTTGGTTCATTCCCGCATTCGAAATAAAACCATTCTCCACGACTGACCTACAAAATCCGTTCTTCATATCCACCAAGCTTCACATTGTACTCTTCACTTTCATTAACGCATCTTATCACAAAGTTAATGCCAAGCGTTCACTCGATCCATGTAGTACTTACTGTCTCTACTTTCTACTTTCATTCTCTCATAATTTTGCGCCACACCTCCTCTTCCTTACAGTCGCTGTCGGGGATGAACAATTCATCTTTTTGAAATGTTTGAACACACCACCAAAGGTGATCAATGACACTAAGTGACTATAAGCTATATTCTTTTAGTTGGAGTTCTCATATTGAGTAGAATTTTGAGATTTTACTCATTGGCAACGGTTCTTAGTGAACAGTGGGATGGAATTTCAATGAAAAAAGGCACTGTTGGTCTCATAAATGTGACTGACGTTTTAGCATCGTTAGAAATACTACCAGTATTTGTCGTGAATAAAACCTAATCACGAAATGCCTACACACTTTCAGATTGCTTTCTTTCACAACCAACTCATTTCGAACTCTTTCTTCCAGTAGTCGAAGAGCCAATTATGACAATATTATCGAAGCTTTGAAAGTAGAACTTTGCAAACTTCAAAGGAACAAGTTCTCATGCTCAACAATTCCAAGAATCTCAGAGAACTTGTAGGGAAAATGAGCTGGAGTTAAAAGAGATGCCTTACTGGTTTATCGGAACAACAATTTTNAGTATCAAGACAAGTATTTTTAGAGAGGCATTGGGAAGCAAAATAGAGATATGAGAGGCATTTACGGTTCAAGGAAACAGTTGACGAGTGTGTGGTCCAAACGCTTTTCTATTGATTCACAACTCTGTATGTGACTAATTTATAAACCAGAACATCAAAGTCGCTGTTCGAAATTTGGTTCATTCCCGCATTCGAAATAAAACCATTCTCCACGACTGACCTACAAAATGTGTTCTTCATATCCACCAAGCTTCACTTTGTACTCTTCACAAAGTTAATGCCAAGCGTTCACTCGATCCATGTAGTACTTACTGTCTCTACTTTCTACTTTCATTCTCTCATAATTTTGCGCCACACCTCCTCTTCCTTACAGTCGCTGTCGGGGATGAACAATTCATCTTTTTGAAATGTTTGAACACACCACCAAAGGTGATCAATGACACTAAGTGACTATAAGCTATATTCTTTTAGTTGGAGTTCTCATATTGAGTAGAATTTTGAGATTTTACTCATTGGCAACGATTCTTAGTGAACAGTGGGATGGAATTTCAATGAAAAAAAGCACTTTTGGTCTCATAAATGTGACTGACGTTTTAACATCGTTAGAAATACTACCAGTATTTGTCGTGAATAAAACCTAATCACGAAATGCCTACACACTTTCAGATTGCTTTCTTTCACAACCAACTCATTTCGAACTCTTTCTTCCAGTAGTCGAAGGGTCAATCATGACCCTATTATCGAAGCTTTGAAAGTAGAACTTTGCAAACTTCAAAGGAACAAGTTCTCATGCTCAACAATTCCAAGAATCTCAGAGAACTTGTAGGGAAAAATGAGCTGGAGATAAAAGAGATGCCTTACTGGTTTATCGGAACAACAATTTTTAAGTAGGTGAAAATGCGAAAACTCTCATTCCTTAACGGATTTGGAGTGATTTAGTCATTAACGAAAGTGAAATAGAGCTTGCTTTCTTCAAATCGGATAGTTTGAAATGTTCTTACAATTCCGGTGGATTGAGGCATACAAAGCTAGTCACAAGATTGGACATCTTGCTCTTACGAGATTTCAAAAATTTGGAAGAGGGTGTGACAAAATTTCATTGAACTTGGGGCGAATATGCCACACAAAATGGACAATAGGATATGTGGTTTTTCGAGTTCGAATACAGTGAGGAGATGTGGGGTGTGTGTGAGGGTGTGAGAATTAGATTTGCGAGATGCAATGAGCACCTTTTCTGCATTTTGACATCCGTTTCCAGATTCTATTTAGTCCTAAAGGACTTATTCATACAAGTTTTATTTTATTTCGTTGAGTGAATTTGATTGTGAACAATTATTTGGAAGCTCATTCACTGTAGAGCAAGGAAAAGAATAATGGTTACATGGTCAAGTTCCACTTTAAACGTCTCTTATTTCTGACACNGTGTGTGAGGGTGTGAGAATTAGATTTGCGAGATGCAATGAGCACCTTTTCTGCATTTTGACATCCGTTTCCAGATTCTATTTAGTCCTAAAGGACTTATTCGTACAAGTTTTATTTTATTTCGTTGAGTGGATTTGATTGTGAACAATCATTTGGAAGTTCATCCACTGTAGAGCAAGGATAAGAATAATGGTTACATGGTCAATATCCACTTTAAACGTCTCTTATTTCTGACACAAAGATAGTTCAGTCAAAAAGACTCATGAAAATTCAGTGATAATGCTAGTTAGTAAAAGGCAATTAAAAACTGATGGATTTAAAAGATTGGCGTTAAGAAAAACCGACTTTCAATATCGGCTCTATTCTAGCTACGTTAAGTGTGCTATTTTTTTAAAACACAGTCTAGTGGTTTCTTTAAGCTTATAGTAGAAATTTAAAAAGTGTAAATAAATAACGATTCTGTTGTTCAAATATGAGTAATTACTTAAATTGAATGCTCAATTGATTTAGTAGATAAATGTGTAAAATTCGAAAATATGTTTTTCATATTATTTCTTAATTCAATGGCTTATACGCATTCCTGTTGTATGTGAGCGCGGCGAAAAGCGGTATCCAATTAAAATTTAAGCTTCCGCAATGAAATTTTGATATCAACCAATCAGGGGTCAATATGCATTTCATTGGTCGGCCTCTCTTTAAATACGCTGATAACAAGGCTGTACAGATCATAAGATTGCCAAATGGAACACTCAGAAAACGGTTCAAATTTGCACACTGAGAACTCTAACCAAACCAGACCCGGTAACAATGTTGAAAACACGTGGACCCCACCTATTGAAAATGTACCACAATTAGCAGCCCTTTCCTATGGATATCCTAGATCAATAAACTATGAAAGCGGTGATTTTCTCATGCCACCATCCCTGTCTTCCGACCATTCCTCTTTTCGACAAATGTGTTATCAACATACCCTCCCTACCGGTGTTCCTCGTGATGAACCAATTGCACCAAGTGGACAAACTAATGGATCATACTCACCACACCTCTTCGGAAGTGAGCTTTCTCGTCCCATCACCTCTAATTCCAATTCAAATCCAGTGGATTTACAAGTCTACGAGGAGGAATCTAATACTCCTTCAGGTGTCTCTGCTGCAAACGGTAAGTCGTGACACTATTTTTCAAGTGAAGATATTTTGATTTTAGTCAATTTATCAGAATGGGGTTGCTATAGGCTAGGAGAGCGTAGGGCAGGATAGGGTTGTGAGATGAAATGAAGTGAGAAAGACATAGGTATTGCCCAGTCTACATGCACTCACTTAGATTCTTACCTCACTAGTCTCTGATTTGATATTTTCAGAACGAAAGTATTCAGGTAAAAGAAGTTAGTCGAATTGTTACTCAATAGACACAAAATATGTAAGCGAATTATTGATCGAGACAACCATGGGGATGGCTTAAATCGCCTATCAAAATAGCGGATATTGGAGCTGAAATAGTTATTTTCTAAGTTCAGAAATCAATGCGGATTAAGATGCAAGGACAAAATGTTGGATTTTCAATATTATTTCATTTTTCATTTCACACAGGTGGACGAAGAAAGCGTAAACCCTACACCCGACACCAAATTGAGGTTTTAGAGGCAATATTCCAGAAAGAAAATTATATCCGCTGTGAGAAACGGAAGGAAGTGGCAGCAACATTGAGTTTATCTGAGAGGCAGGTAATATTCGAATGGCAATTTATTAAATTGTTGTGTACTGTGTAAAATTCGCTACCAAATCACTATGTCAACAAGGTTTAGAAACCGGGGTGTTATCTACATTTTATGCTTCAATAAATACGTGTGCCAACTTCCAACATATCAGCTGTCGCATGTCTTGAGAAAAACTGAATGCAATTTAGGATTGATAACTGTAAACTTTCGAAGGGATGGGTCTGGGTATTGTGCCAACTTCTAAATAATTCATGAAGTGAAGTCATATTTGCTCCACTCGATAATTACAATGGTGTTGTGTTCAATCGTTCACAACTGTCCTTTCTAATTCTGGGCCCTCGCTGTCTTCTTGGCTCTAAATAGAGTTTGTTTGTCAAATTTTATGATGATTTTAAACTGGAAATGATGTGATGGGGGAGGGGAGGGGGTGGTGGGGAAGGGGAGATTAGTTACAATTGTGTCAACGGCAGACATGAAGGAAATTGAAGTGGAGTCACTCTTCAGTAAATGAATGGTCTTAGAGTTTTATGTATGTTTCATCGAAATCTTGTAGGTTAAGGTGTGGTTCCAAAATCGGCGAATGAAGGCCAAGAAACAAAGATCAAAGGAAAAACGCAATATCAATAATGGGTCTGTTACCGATGAGGACATAAACCAAGATGGTCCTAGTAATTCACCTTTATTCGACAATCCGTCTCCATTAAAAATTGGAACTTCACCACAAGGAGTACACCACACTGAAACACCACCTACCCTGCCACCTTCGCTGCCTCCCTATTGTTCCACTTATCAAAATTCTCCCTTCCATGTTATGCCTACCAACGACTATGCGCCAACAAACATGTTTTGTCCCACTATGCCTTCCGACCAACNAATTGAAGTGGAGTCACTCTTCAGTAAATGAATGGTCTTAGAGTTTTATGTATGTTTCATCGAAATCTTGTAGGTTAAGGTGTGGTTCCAAAATCGGCGAATGAAGGCCAAGAGACAAAGGGCAAGAGAAACTTGCAACAACAATAATGGGTCTGAGACGGACTTGGACTTAAGCCAAGATGGTCGTAGTAATTCTCCATTATTCACCAATCCACCTCCATTAAAAATTGGAACTTCACCACAAGGAGTACACCACACTGAAACACCACCTACCCTGCCACCTTCGCTGCCTCCCTATTGTTCCACTTATCAAAATTCTCCCTTCCATGTTATGCCTACCAACGACTATGCGCCAACAAACATGTTTTGTCCCACTATGCCTTCCGACCAACAGCCTCCACACTTTCAATACAACGCCATAAATACTGCCTATTTAAGCTTGAATAGCAGTCCAGGAGTTAATAACGCTCCAAGAGAAATCACTCCTGACAGTGATCGATCTCATGGTGGCCTACTCCCACCAAGTATGAATGGGATGGGCAGAATTCCAGATGTAATATCTCGCCAGTTAGTAAACACTAATGACAGTGAAGATCCCAACCAAATTAATTTCAACCAACTACCTCAACAGCCACCACCGCCACAGCCGTCACAATCTCTTCCAGCACAATTACCACTGACACTACAACAGCAAAGTTCCTATCTCAGCCCTGCTCCAACAGCAGGAAATATCGAAATCAATGGTGGCCATAGTACCCCTCCAGTGGCACATGCCAACACAACATACTCTGGAATGATGGAAAACACCAATGAAACCAATCGGAATTATGAAATGATATACTCTGATTACCTTCATGGAACGACTTTTTCATATCCTCCTCCTGCACCTGGCTACTTCTATGAAGCTAACCCAACGACAAATGTTCAGTTCAATTCAAATATGCAGTTCACAAGCTTTCAGTCGTCTCCTTATTACTCATCGCAGAATATCAATGCACAAGCACCGTCGTATTCACCGAACGACCACAATTCATCGCAGCCGCCATTTCACCCGAATTCGAACCCTCCCAACCGCTACTCCAGCTAAATTTAAACCGTCGATCTTGTTACCTCTATTTTGATACTGGGATTAAATAACCTTTTTTAAATTTAAACAATTGAATGAGAAACTGTTTTTAACGTATTGTTATAAACTTTTGAATCAATAGCTTTAATCGCTTCCAATATTAACATGTCTTTTTCGAATCCGTTAAAAACTGGATTTCATAGAAAATTTAGAGATTCATGTTTTCATTTCCATTCATCTTTTATTTCATTTTCTGTTTTAATTTTAAGTTAATTTATTCCCATTGGGCTCATAAAATAGACCGTTTGTTTCTAATCCCGTCAAGCAGCGGGAAAATATCGACAGGCCAAAAATTAATTAGATTGGACTAACCAGTACCTAAGGTGAAGAAATTTCTTTACAAGGAAAACAAACTCAAAATTTGTTGCCGAAACATCTGTCACCTCATTCGGAAAGTAAAATATTGTTGGGGCTTCTTGTGTCTTAACACATAGAGGACTTGACTCAATCAGTGTGATAAGTTTACATATTGTGAGTAAATCAACTGACTACGTATTCGAGCCAAATCTGGCAACTTTCCTTTGCAAGACGGAGGTCAGTTAACTTATCCTGCACCACTCCCCACATCCCGTCTTAAGGTCACCGGTTTTATGAGATTTTTATTGCTGTCCCGGTAGCCAGCGGGCCTAGTTGCATATATACGAGCCCCCCCCCCCACCTCTGACCTAGAATCCCCAACTCACCCAGCTCTCTCCTCTCTCCTACTCCTATCACCCGACCCGTGTGCCAAGACTTCATATCGATTGGTGAACAGTCCATTCAGAAAAGGATAGAATAGAAAATTCCAACTTACGTTATTCTCATGATTTGTGTTGGCATCTTCAACTTTGATGAATGACTGTGAGAAAACCCCTCTCAGTAGACAATAACTAGTCACGTGTTAAGTAAAATGCGATCGAAACAGGAGACAGACAATTTCTATTTGAGCATTAGATTTTTTAGCCTCAATAGATGTAGTTACGGCGAAATATTTTGTAAAAAAGAAAGGCTCTCTCAAAGGAATAGCGTTTTGTAGTGATTGGTTGAAATCATTTAAATTTAATTAAATTATATTCATTCTTATGTTTAACACTGCACATTTTATCGAGCGATTCAGTGTGTTACCTTACCACAAAGGTCAAATGTCTGTTAATGATTTTAATTGTGATATCAGAACACAGTCAGGTCAAAGGTAACGAGGGCACTACACATTAGTCTACATACAGAGGTCACGGATTAAAATTCATCCTTGTGCATACAATGAGTTACCCCTTAATTTGCACAGATGCGATGGGGAAAATAGAAAGACAGAATGCGAGAGGAGGGTTAAATGCTTAAGCGAGAGAGAGAGAGAGAGAGGAATTTCGTGAATCTGTTCATTCATAAATCGCAAAAACTACTTAAGCATCTGAACTCATACATTTTCCTATCTTATCGAAAATATTCCTATTAGCTAGTTACTAAGGCCTAATGGCAAAGCACATGGTTTTGAAGCCTTCATGCGTCTCTCTACTTCTTACGTGGATGGCGTTCTGAAAGCCTGTCAGTTGGCACTTGAGTGGGATCGAATGAAATGCTGATCCCAGGATAAAGGTGAGAGGGGGGGGGAGGGGGAGGGTGGCGAGAGAACGAGGTAAAGGGTGAAGAGGGGTTGATAATTTACCACATACTACTACATCATTGCCCCAGTTACTTAGCTGTGATATCCTAGACGTGTTTTACTGGTACTGATATCGCAAGATATCACCTATACGATATTATATTCCTAACAGAACTTCCATAAATTACCAATTTAAACGTAATGATGCTTATAAGTGAAATCTAGCGTATCGATATCATGCTACTATTTTGAATAAAATAAAGGAATTAGCGAGCCTTAAACAATCTCCTTTTCTATAACCTCAAAAACCAGAGTGACCCGCGGACCCATTCAATCTTTTAAACTCGGTAAATTGGCTTTATTATTTATAATTTACTTAGTCGAATTTAAACTAGATTTAACTCAAGGGAAGTAATTGCCTGCCAATCGGTGCATTTGAGCACTGAATTTAACTAACACATCTATAAATTGTCTCAAAACCACAGCTCTATTCAAATGTTCTTCACATTGTAAGGTACTGAAAATTTTAAGGACTATTGAATTAAAATGTTATGACTGACCATTAAGGTAACCAATATGTAGGTAAACGCTAATTATAGAGGCTTTGAATGTATTCAACATTCCAAGAGGCGGGGGGAGGGGAGGGGGGCTAGTTTTACCATCTAAAATTCTGTGAGGAATAGGCGCTGAAAAATCCAACAATTTGACTGTGTGGGAGTCAAATAAAGTAGGACACTTCTGCTGGTATTCAAATGATTTTTCTAATGATTATTAAATTTTTGCAAATATAAGTGCAAAATACTTATTTCTCCGAAAATAATTTGAATTTTGGAAAATCCTCTCTCGAAGACATATTCTTAAATAGTTAAACTATGAAAATATGAAAAAATCGATTTGTTTTATTTCTAGACCAGAATACCTCCTTAAGGGAAACAATTATCTCTGTTCTAAAAATAGAATTTTGACTCTTTGTATTAAATAGGTGAGGCACACAGTTCATTTTGCCCACTTGACCAAGTTGTCTGGCCAAGCATAGGGGGGGGGGGGGGGACGGTAATAATTCACTGTGCAGTATCTTGGGGATCTGATGTCCAACTCTCACGAGGCGTCGTATAGTCCAATGTGCTACCTGTGGACGGACAAAAAACATCCGTTCGAGCAATTGGAACCCACTTCAACAAAAAGAATTAGAAGTAGAAAGTAACAGCTTGCACAAATCTTGCCAATTAACTACCGTCGTGCATGAGGTCATGCAATATTGATCGAATAGCAGAAGACACCCATGTCCAAAAAAGGAGAATCTCAGTTACTTTAAGTGACTTTTGTCCACCCTACATGTGCCTAAATGCAATCGCCTGATAACTCACTGATTCCGCAATTGCATTTTCTACAAGTTCGCAATTTTACTTCATTTTTGACTTGCTGTTTATCAAGAGCTAAGCTAATCATTCACAGCAGTTTTGCGGTTTGCATTTTTCCGCCTCAAAATTGATTGACCGGATCTAAAGGGAGAACTAGTGTGGATCACTTCTAAGTTGAGCTCAATTGTTCTCTTGTGGACTGCAATCGGGCGGTTTCTTTCGAGATCTTCATTTAATATCTTTCACAAAGCATTTATAGCTCGAATATCGATCAATTTTGCCCACTACCTGCCCATTGAGGATGAGCAGAGCGAAGAGTCACACTTCAAAGAAAGTAAAAGCCTCACTTCTAGATTACTTGCTTCACAAGTAGCTATGCGCGAGCTCTTCTCAAACCTTTGACACATTTCAACCACGTAACTTACTTTGTAGAATATGAGACAATTACTTCAAGACATATAACGGCAAACATATAATGCACGTGGTTTGTTCACCAAATTTGCTAGCTTTTACTTCAATTCTATGTGTGTCCACTTATCAAATTTGGTTTTCCATTCAACTCGATGCTGAGTGAACGAACAATGCCAAATTTATTGAAAAGGAATATTGACTGAATGCACAAGTGTTGTTCTACGTGAAAAGGAGGCTTTAAACTGGATGAAAAATTAAGTGGTGGAGAATATCATTGCAGACACGTGTACTACACAATAGGCGTTTACGAATCGCTGAACTTCTAAGTAGCAACTGTGAAGTCAAGTTAATGAAGATCCTTCAAATCATCAATCTTTAGAATTATAGTGATAATTTTTCACCTATACTTGATTACAAGCTTCTAAATAAGATTCAACATTAAATTTATTTCAAATTTAAGCTATTTGCAAAAAAATCAATGCCAGCATTTTGCTTAAATACCTCTTAATGACTTGATTTATGTCAGAAACAAGTTTATTTCTTAAATAATTATGGTCAACGCCATTATATGGGACGAGTGACTTTTATTCATTCAAAACGCATTCTTTGCTTTTAATTATCTGCCAAAATGCGAGAAAGCCGACCACTCAATTTAATTGGCTATTAAACATGTCTCGTATATAGCAGGCAAAAAAGCCACTCAGGGACTCATACGTAGATCATCAAAAAATCTCTTTTAGGCCATTCTTATTTAACTCATTAATGACTATTCTCCTCTAATCAAAGTTTTCAGATAACACCATCGCTTACAAAAGTTTCCACCTTGTCTTTAGTAGTAATAGTGATGGTGAACAAATTAAAACAAGTTAATTTAAACAGACTTGGGGAAATTAATGAGCTCTTCACCCACTTCCAGTAGTAACAATGGTTACGTAAAGGGGATATTCGTTCTAAACAGTGACTTAAAACCTGCTTGCCGTTGTGTGGGTGAAAGGTTATCTCCAGGGCATGCAATGTGGTATACAATCCAGGTGTGTGAACTCATCATCATGGAGACATTGTTACCTCTACCCAATTTTATGAATTACTCATTGTCATAAATTGGGATTTCTTAAGTGCTGCGACCTCATTTCCCCACCCCACCAAACCCTTGATATGCCTGACTGAATTTGGTTTTCATGAGTTCTAATCAAATCCTACCTTGTTTAGTTTTATATAAATGGTGGGAAAATGAAATTTTAAAATGTTGTTAGATGTGGGTGATGCATTAGAACTGAGTCAATACGCTGAAAAGTCATGAGTGTAAGCTCAAGGGAATAAAGCTAGAAGCGTTAGGGCTGGTGTTTTGTCTCGAGTTTACACATTTCTATATCTTGTCACCAAGTTGCCCATCATCCATATCGATATTCTAGTCAACTCTGCTCCTTCAAACTTGCCAGACCGTCAGAAAGCGCAAATGGTGTTTTTCTATAAATGCGTTTATTTGATCCAACAAATAACCAAATGTGTTGTTTTGGGGAAAAGTGGCATATTGAATTCCAGTTTTTTTTTAAAATTACACTTTTCGTTTGAGTTGAAATTTTTGAGTGGAGATAAATTATTAATCCTGGTCAAGAGGAGGGTTAGTAGAATGGCATGGCATCGGTCATTGGTTATCTCCCACCCCCCCTCTGCCACCAGAAGTGGCTTCAAAATTGAAATTTAGTTAAACATGGATTGCTTATGCTCTACCTCTCCCATGATGGTAACTTACCAACCTCAGTCTGTCAAGGTAAATGGTTGACGATTAAGTGAGCATGTTTTAGTAGGTAAGTAGAGAAGGCAATTTTGCTTGGAACCGTCTATTTGATGTGACTCTGGACGAAGGCTGATTATTTTACAAATGAGATGGTGTTTATATGAGTCCACTTTAAAATTGTATGGGTTTCTAACTCTGCCACCAACGAGCTTGGACATTTTTGGTGTCTTAATGCCACAAGTACTTCGAAGCCTCGCTTGCCAACTCAAAGTGCTCATTTTCTAAGCTCTTAAAGAAAATAATTCTTGCAAAAAAAATGGACAAAATGCTTTGGGTGAACGAAGCTGAATGAATGGTTTATTTTAAAGCATTATAATCTCGGTATTTTATTGAAAGAACGCCTGCTTTAAGTAAATAACACCTATAACCTCTCAGTGCTGAGAGAAACCCTACTAGACCGTCTTTAAAAATTTTTCACCCCCTAAGCATATTCCTTCTTCCCACAGCAGATGATTGCGAATTATTTCATTCGATAGTGGACTTTGAAATACTGTAAAATGTAAAAACGTGGCGCACAAAGTGACAATCTGAGTGACTTTTCAGTTCGATACCTATACACCTGAGGAATAATGAAGGTTTATTATAAGTTACAAAATAAGTAATTATTGAGTCCATGAAATAAATCAAATGGTTTTGCAATTTTGTACCCTGATGAGAAATTTAAACATCAGAAAAGTCTGTTAGGAAACTCTATCTGGGTTTTAAAGTTGGTATTAATACGTCTCCTTGCTGTCCAAGAGTAATTTGACTTCAAACTTCCGGTTTTAATCAAAATTTGCACTTATATTATAATTCAAATTCAAAATTTCAAAATTATGGCGATCGTGAAAATTCATTGTCGTCCTCACCAGTCGATTCGACACGAGGTCACATTGTTTATGTTATCGTATCGTAAAGGTCAGCTAACTTTTGCGAAAGTGCATTTGCCTGTTTGAGGTAAGTTAATATTCGCAGACACAATATCGTAGCTTCTCTTTTTACCTTCTTATGACTTTATAAAATATTTTGAATTTACCATTCCAAGACATCAAGGAAAATTTAGATGACTTCGAAGCCAACTTATTTATTTTATTTATTTATTTATGCCAAATGGCAGGCGTTTTGATAGTTATCATTAGCCCTTTAGCTGACTTCGGGCTTCACAGAGGGGAAAGAACGAAAAATTAAAAAAGTCGAGATGGGGGGGGGGAACAGAAGAGTGTTTCAACGATGTAAAAGAGACAGACACAAAGGTAGAGAAAGGGTGAGGTGAGTACTGGGAAGTAGCCGAACATGGCATACAGTGGGGTGCTGGTAGCTTGAAGTCAGAAGTCAACTGCCAGTTAATAGACCTTTTTGCCGTATGAGTATACGTTGCCCAGGGTACACCACGTGGAGGTAAGTCTATCACTCACCCCTGGAAGCCAGCTTTAATGCCTTGCATTCCGTCAATTTTGTATAGCCTTCTGAAATGTCTTTATATTTTTATTATTTTAAATTTACTCAAAAACAATATTGAGAAAATTTGAATTGGTTTGAAGAGTTTTAGCTGGATGTTTTAAAATTGTGCCTTCGTGTATTTTACGAAGTATCTTGTTCTTTTGAGTTAAATATACCATCTAAAAATGGTAGAAGGAAGAACTATGTGAAGTGTGGCCATTTAGAAACTTTATTAATAATTCGTAAAATGGTTATTTTTAAGTTTAAAAGAGTTAATAGCGTTGCATTTAAGCAGGCAGGAAGAAAGAGCTAAAGGAAATGTAATATCCAACTCTAAAGAACGTTGAAATGTGGATTATTTGACAATGCCATTGAAAAGAAAATCGAGTTGGAATGACTAGCATACAAGCGTCTTCGCAAATGAACATTAACTGAACAGAAATTTCGATGTACGGTTTCAGGCGAAGCTGATGATAATCACAATTTAAAAATCACAAGTTATTCGATTTATTCCAAGTTTCTTGATTGAATTTCGTAAAGTCAAGATATAATCACATAAACCCCATAGTTGAAACATATATTCTCTGACATAATCATTTGATTTATTGGGTCTAATAACGAAGCCGTTGACACAAATTTAACTTGAACAAAAATCCTAAATTTTAAACTTGAGCTGGTGCATTACGCCCCCCCCCCCCCTCCTCCGCTCCATCAGCATTCTCCCTTTCACAGTTTTAAACGATATAAACGATCGATCAGGCTCATTTACATTTGGGGCCAGTACTGTTCTAAGGCAAAATCAGTTGTTCATTTTAAGGTCAAGATAAAAGAGGCAGGGAGGGGGGGGGGTAGGATTGTTGTCCTTCCTGATAGGGTTAACACCATGACTCATCTTCACCATCTGCTTCGGTAAAGGCTCGAGAGATACGAGTGACCTCTCCTCAGATCTTGACAGATTTTGGGAATAGTACACCCGTTTGGTTGAATATGAGCACAGCTTTATTTGCTCACAGAAAAATCCACCGCTTTCGAGTTCCACTTTTTTAACAATTTTAAATGTTAAAAATTTGACGAAACTCTCATCTTTTGACTGTTAATACGATTCTTATTTCTCAAAACCCATCACATCAGGTGAAATTTAACGATCATATATCTAAATTTTTTGTGACATTCAAAATTCCTATCGATATTACCGGTTAAATAGTCATATTTAATTAAAAGGAAAGATTTGAATGATGTTGGGCCGAATGAATGGAAGAAAATTGTTTAGACATACACGTAATACCTGTCATTAAATTGGCATTCAACTAAAAACAAGAGAAGCGTAGAAAAACTACATAATACGTAGTTATTTTTCTGGATCCGAGTACTTATATTAATTATTGCAATAATGATCTCCGTGAGGCCTATTTGACCACATTATCAGATACCAATATGAAGAAAAGATAAAAGTGAGTATATTTCTAAATCATAAAATGGTACATGTTGGGACGTTTCTCTGGTTCAATAACTCTGCAGCTTCTTTGGATCATCGGAGAGTAGTGAGAGTCGGAACTTAAACCTCGCTTAAGTTATTGTTTTATGATGATAAAGCAATACTTAAACGCTCTTCTGATTCTTTTAACGTGCACAATTACTAAAGCAAGAAGTTTTGTCTTTGTGCAAAATTCAGTGAAGAATATATGGAATAATTAAAGTCCCAAATGATCAACTAAAAACGAAGATCAACAATAACACTGAATTACCTTAATTCCAGGCTTTACTCTATAAATACTGAAAAGTATCGCCCAATAATTTGAGGCCTTTAAACGAATTAGTAATATTTACAAAAAATTGAACTGAAGTTACTAATTTTGCTTTTTTAAAAATTCAAATAGCTTTACTATTTAATCAATCCGAGTAACAGATGCCCGTATTTGAGAAGAAGTAGGAAAATTTTAAAATAAATACCTACTTAATAACGATAAGTAGGATTAAATAAAGCTTTTACGCAATAAAAGTGCATTGTCAATATTACCTAATAAAAACGAAATTTCAAATAGCATCAAGCAATAACAGTTCCATTTAGAAAGTATAGTTTTTTACCAATGTAGAAACCCACTTTGTCTGTTCAAATTAAGCTAGAAATCCCTTTTTCTATTCTAAATGTATATAGTCGATATTTGAGCGGCCTTTTATGGAAGTATGCTTTAACTGTTCAGACCCATAGTGAAAAAAGCTAGGAGAACGACCTTTCCAAACAGAAAAGTTTTAGAACACTGGCCAGTTCACAATTAACAATATTTTTAGATGTCTAATTATGTTTGGTTGGACTACGATAAAAGAAATATAGTGAACAACATATCTAAAAATGTCTAATCATTATTGAGTGCACAATGGACTGCTCTATAATTTCATAATGAAAATAACCTGTTGATGACGTGGCATGGATGTCGTACTTTCTTTTCAAGTCAGAGTACAATTTCGGTTTCTAAGGTGTCCAAATCCAATGGGTTTGCTAAGGGAAGATTATATAAATTTCCCAACATTTAAATTTAGAATGTAGTAAAAACTTACTTACTTAGCTTTTAACTAAAATTCTACAATTCCAACTACTAGGATTTACGAAAGTTAAAAAAATCAATAAATACATCAAAATTGGTAAAAACTTTATTATGGTAAAAGTTCCATTTTTTTCCAGAAAAAATAGAGGTAATAAGATTGTCTATTCAAATTTGTCTTTAGTAAAGATTATGAGAGCCCGAATTCGGGAGAAATATTGGCTGCGATGAGACGTAGTCGTTGAGTGGATGCAACGGTGATTGTACATACACATTTGGTGATAAGTAATCAGGCGATGGTCGAAAGCTTGTGAATTGCATATTTGCATTGGGCTGAATATTCATCCTCGAGTTAGCTTCATGTAAGTAACTAGGTGCAGGAGGTGAATATGAAAAAGTCGTTCCATGAAGGTAATCAGAGTATATCATTTCATAATTCCGATTGGTTTCATTGGTGTTTTCCATCATTCCAGAGTATGTTGTGTTGGCATGTGCCACTGGAGGGGTACTATGGCCACCATTGATTTCGATATTTCCTGCTGTTGGAGCAGGGCTGAGATAGGAACTTTGCTGTTGTAGTGTCAGTGGTAATTGTGCTGGAAGAGATTGTGACGGCTGTGGCGGTGGTGGCTGTTGAGGTAGTTGGTTGAAATTAATTTGGTTGGGATCTTCACTGTCATTAGTGTTTACTAACTGGCGAGATATTACATCTGGAATTCTGCCCATCCCATTCATACTTGGTGGGAGTAGGCCACCATGAGATCGATCACTGTCAGGAGTGATTTCTCTTGGAGCGTTATTAACTCCTGGACTGCTATTCAAGCTTAAATAGGCAGTATTTATGGCGTTGTATTGAAAGTGTGGAGGCTGTTGGTCGGAAGGCATAGTGGGACAAAACATGTTTGTTGGCGCATAGTCGTTGGTAGGCATAACATGGAAGGGAGAATTTTGATAAGTGGAACAATAGGGAGGCAGCGAAGGTGGCAGGGTAGGTGGTGTTTCAGTGTGGTGTACTCCTTGTGGTGAAGTTCCAATTTTTAATGGAGACGGATTGTCGAATAAAGGTGAATTACTAGGACCATCTTGGTTTATGTCCTCATCGGTAACAGACCCATTATTGATATTGCGTTTTTCCTTTGATCTTTGTTTCTTGGCCTTCATTCGCCGATTTTGGAACCACACCTTAACCTACAAGATTTCGATGAAACATACATAAAACTCTAAGACCATTCATTTACTGAAGAGTGACTCCACTTCAATTTCCTTCATGTCTGCCGTTGACACAATTGTAACTAATCTCCCCTTCCCCACCACCCCCTCCCCTCCCCCATCACATCATTTCCAGTTTAAAATCATCATAAACTTTGACAAACAAACTCTATTTAGAGCCAAGAAGACAGTGAGGGCCCAGAATTAGAAAGGGCAGTTGTGAACGATTGAACACAACACCATTGTAATTATCGAGTGGAGCAAATATGACTTCACTTCATGAATTATTTAGAAGTTGGCACAATACCCAGACCCATCCCTTCGAAAGTTTACAGTTATCAATCCTAAATTGCATTCAGTTTTTCTCAAGACATGCGACAGCTGATATGTTGGAAGTTGGCACACGTATTTATTGAAGCATAAAATGTAGATAACACCCCGGTTTCTAAACCTTGTTGACATAGTGATTTGGTAGCGAATTTTACACAGTACACAACAATTTAATAAATTGCCATTCGAATCTTACCTGTCTCTCAGACAAGCTCAATTCTTCACCTATTTCTTTTCGCCTTTTGCAACCGATGTACTTCTCTTTCTGGAATATTGCCTCTAAAACCTCAATTTGGTGTCGGGTGTAGGGTTTACGCTTTCTTCGTCCACCTGTGTGAAATGAAAAATGAAATAATATTGAAAATCCAACATTTTGTCCTTGCATCTTAATCATCATTGATTTCTGAACTTAGAAAATAACTATTTCAGCTCCAATATTCGCTATTTTGATAGGCGTTTTAAGCCATCACCATGGTTGTCTCGATCAATAATTCGCCTATATATTTTGTGTCTATTGAGTGACAATTCGACTAACTTCTTTTTCCTGGACACTTTCGTTCTGAAAATCGCAAATCAGAGACTAGTGATGTAAGAATCTAAGTGAGTGCATGTAGACTGGGCAATACCTATGTCTTTCTCACTTCATTTCATCTCACAACCCTATCCTGCCCTACGCTCTCCTAGCCTATAGCAACCCCATTATGATAAATTGACTAAAATCAAAATCTCTTCACTTGAAAAATAGTGTCACGACTTACCGTTTGCAGCAGAGGCACCTGAAGGAGTATTAGATTCCTCCTCGTAGACTTGTAAATCCACTGGATTTGAATTGGAATTGGAGGTGATGGGACGAGAAAGCTCATTTCCGAAGAGGTGTGGTGAGTATGATCCATTAGTTTGATCATTTGGTGCAATTGGTTCATCACGAGGAACACCGGTAGGGATGGTATGTTGATAACACATTTGTCGAAAAGAGGAATGGTCGGAAGACAGGGATGGTGGCATGAGATAATCACTTCCTTGATAGTTTATAGTTCTTGGATATTCATCATCTGATGGGTTCGCGACTGGTGGAGACCATGCCTTTTCAACATTGATATCCGTTTCATCATTGTTTGGGATTTTTGCTGCAAGACTCAGGTCTCTGTCTGGGCGCTCCATCTCCCAATCTCAAGCAATTACCGAATTTCGACTCGCTCTTTTAAATGTTTTAATCAGCCAATGAACTGTGCACTAGATTGTGATTGGTTATAACTAAATGTATGCAAACCGTCCCTCGTACGCCATTTGCTATAGGGTACACGTACTCGTACCTAAAAATGCAATAAGTCAGTTCAAAGGATGCATGAATATTTCTTGAAACATTGTCTATTTGCTTTGTGGTAATTCATACATATATCAACTTAAGCAATGAATGTTGCAAATGAATTGAGATAGACACGAGTTTTAAGCAAGAGAACTGTTACTCACATCCACTTTTAAATTTCTATCATGAATTTAAAAATTCAGCTGAATACTATTCAGAATATATAAATATCAACTTCAATGTAGCTAGAATATAGAGCTGTTAGATTAAAACAATGTCACTTCACAATTGTAGTCTACATCCATCTTTTTTGCTTTGCCCATTACTAACTAACATTATCTTGGAAGTTTTTCAAGACTCTTCAACTGAACTATTGGGTTGCCAACTAAGTCACTGCCGTTTTTGTTGACGGATTCACTCTATACTTTCTTTTGTTTTGTTAACGTGGCCAGAGCATCTAACCTATATTTTTTTCTTACTGTATGGGCTTCTAGGTTAATCAGTAAAATATTTTTTTTGTTTAATTCTTTAGTTTTGTTTTTATCCCAATTTAAATATGAAAGAACAGGACGTGCACTTCCGACACATTTTATTGTATTACTTCCGAAAAGGCAAAAACGCATCGCAAGCACAAAAGAAGTTATGTGCCGTATATGGAGATGAAGTCTTAAAAGAAAGGCAGTGTCGAAATTGGTTTGAAAGATTTCGTTCCGGTGATTTTTCACTGAAAAATTCACAACGATCTGGCCGCCCAGTCGAAGTGGATGAAACCCATATCAGGGCCATTATCGATTCAAATCGTCACAGCACAACACGAGATATTGCAGAGAAGCTCAATGTGTCGCGTACATGCATTGAAAAAACTAAAAACCCTTGGTTATGTCAAGAAACTTGATTTATGGATCCCTCACCAGTTAAAGGAAATTCATTTGACGCAACGGAACGATGGAAAAAGGTCATCGACAAGAACGGCCAATATCTAATTGAATAAAGTTATATTTTTAAACAAAAATTCCGAATTTGCCCTCTTATTTGAAATCGGCAATGACTTAGTTGCCAACCTAATATCTTCGTGTCAGAAATAAGAGACGTTTAAAGTGGAACTTGACCATGTAACCATTATTCTTT